ATAGCCATGCAAACTCAGATTGAAGGCTGAACAGTCAGGTAAGGGTTCGAGCTCTCTCCAGTGGAGTCCGGATAGAGCCAATATCTCTTGGTTGAGGACTCATTAAAAAGAAGCCAATTGTTAGAGACCCCGAAGTCCCTTTCTTCATTCAAGGTCCCAATATCAGTGCAAAATAGCAAACACGTTCGAACTCGGCTGATCTCGAGTTATGCCAACCCATTTTTGCTTGTCTACACAACTGGCTTACTCCTCTGAGATTTTCGATGTGCTGTGCTATTTGTTGTGGTTCCGATTCTTCATTTCACCCACACTTTTTAGATTTGCTTCCTTCTACAAACACAAACAACTATGATACAAAGGTGCCTTTACCTAAGCGTCGGGCTTAAGTTTTTTTTTTTTCTTTTTTTAAAGAAAGACGAGTGATGTTTCTCCTTTCTATCAATAACCCGTTAACCCTAAACAACCGCTTGTGTTCATTAACTAAGCGGAGTGATCCCATGGAGTGACAGAAAGGCATTTTATGAATGGGATTGAGAGAATAGGATACACCATTTGGAATATGTTGTCTCTTGAGAACCCACCTTTGCTGCCAAACCCTACAATATAAATATTTGACATTAATATGGGCTTAGACGTTTTCCAACTGGTTTCTTCATGAATCAAGGACTTTAAACATATGCTTCGATTTACTTTTCATTTGTTTTATGGATTATGCTTATTAAGATACCCTGACTGGACTGTTAAATGAAAAAAATCTATAGAATTTAATTGTTTGTTGAAGGATTATATAATGAAAACCCTCAAATTACCTCATGAGTTATTGAAAATTTGATTTGTTCCAGGGAACATGACCCCACTGTGTGTTTTTTAATACTTCTGTTTGTGACTTAGCTTTTCATTATAGACTTGATATGAAAAGGATCTGGACAGACAATAAAGGTACAGGCTGTCACAATCAAGATTTATTGGCCTATGATAATTTTCTGTTACAGGAGGTACTACCAGGAGCCAACTGGTTAAATTAATGCTATTTGATTAAAGTCAACATTGACAATAGAGTTTAAAAGTGTATAGTTACACTTTGCTGTGTTTATCAGAACATTATATTGTACAATTTAAATATACACAATAAAAATATTTTGAAAAGTTAAAAATAAATTATTGTAAGTAGTTAATGTTAACTCTATATATGCACTGAAATCTGTTAAAATAATTTGCTAAGAAATTTACCATTTTAATTTATTTACAAGAGTTGCTTAGAATGTTCAGAATACTCATTAAAATGTTATAGAACTATGTGAAATTAATGCTTTAGGAAACATTTTAAATTATTTTGTGTGTCTACCAACTATGTAGTAAGCACTATTATTCCCTACTTTAGTCAGAATTTTAACTAACAATCAATGTAACAAATAGATACAATTAATTTATGAATGTAGTTATTTTCATATTTGTGGTATATTTTATTCATAGGACTAGGTTTTGAAATCTAAACATTTAAATTCCCAAATGATATTATGAATAACATAAACATGTAAAAAAACCAAAGACTATTTGCTTTAGTATATTTAATTAAAGAATATACATGGTTCAGTTTAATTAGTAAATTGTTGTTGTGGTGTCCCTCCTCTTTGTTATTATCAGGTTTTTAAAAAATATGTAATTATCGAAAAACAAATACTATAAACATGTTTTAATTTTTATAAAGTAGTAAGTAATGCCTTAGCACAAATACTTTTGAGTGATAATTACATTCTGGGTGACTTTGCTATATTAAAATGCAACAACATAAGTAATTCCCTTTTCTTTTTTTTTTCAATTAAATACATCATCATTTTAAGTATATGTCCCAAATATTCTTTACTTTGGTTTCTAGAAGATGTGGCACAAACAAAACCTCATTTTATTGTCTTATTATTGTAAAAGATTCTTTTCTCACTTTAAAAATATTCAGTTCACTTGTCGATGTAAAACAAAATGACATTTTTGATTTACTTACTGACTTCCTAATTTACTAATTATATTTTGTTAAATCAAAGAAGACTTTTAAAAATTGTATGTCTTTTAAAAAGCATTTGATGTGCATGCATATATATAGATATAGTTTGGGCTTCTCAAGATAGTTATCTTTGACATATGCATATTTTCTGAAAAATATTTCTGTCTGAGTTTATGGAAAATGTGAGATAATAACTGTTTTTTCTTATAGTGATTACCTTTGTAACTAGGAATAGCATTTGGTAAGTGTCCCATGTGATGAGCTGGAATTTTATGGTAAAAACGGTGATTTGTGTCTTCTCACTCAGTGCTCACAGAAAACCTGAGGGTCAAATGAAAAAGGAGATAGCAATGCTGCTCCTGATTTGAAGGCAAGACTTTGGTGAACAAATTGTCATTTGATTCAGGAGCCAAGTTGAATAAACCCTAGTTTATCAACCTCCTTGCCTGTGCAAAGCACTGTGCCTTGTATTCAGGTCTCACTATATTTGTGTGTGTGTATGTGTGTGTAAAACGATCATATATATGTATATATTACACAGTTGTTTATAAATGTATTAAAAAAATCCTAGAGGTTATCCTTACAAGCAAATCACTAGGGCTTAGTAAAATTAAATGACTGGGCTGGCCCGTAGCACAATGGATAAGCCCCATGCAGAGGAAGCCTGATTCCTCATGGCTGATCAGGTTCAAATCTCAGTTCCAGAGGCATACATGTTGGGCATAAGTGTGCCCATGATCCTGATGGGATGGACTATTGGAGTATTAGAAGAAAAAGGATTGTGGTGTGACTAGGCCCCATTGAGAATTTTTCTCTCTCTTTCATGTGCACATATGTGCCCTCTAGCATGAAAAAAAGAAAAAGGAAAGAAGTAATAGCTTTTCTAACATCGTAAAGTCTAAATTCTGCCAGATCTCTCTGTCTAGAGAGTCCATGCTCTTTCTTCTATTATTTTGGGTTCTCCAAGAAGATATAAATAGTGATGTAAAGAATGTGGCCACCATCTGTATACAGTCATGCATCGTTTAACAGCAGTAATGTGTTCTAAGAAATGGGTCATATGATTTGTCATTTGAGAACATCACAGATGTACTTCACAAACATAGATAGTGTAGCCTAATACATGTCTAGGCTATATGGTATGTCCTATTTCTCCTAAGCTACAAACCTCTATAGCATATTATTCTACTGAATACAGTAGATGATTATAACACAATGGAAGATATTTGTGTACAAAACATATCTAAATATAGAAAAAATATGGCATAAAAGATTAAAAATGGTACACCTGTAAAGAGCATTTAACATGAATGGAACTTGTAGGATTGTGAGTTGCTCTGGGTGAGTCAGAAAGTAGTGAATGAATGTGAATTTGTAAAACATTTACTGAACATTAATGTATATTACTATAGACTTTAAATACAGTATCTACTTAGACTACACTAAATTACTACATTTAGCTTAAAACATAAACACATTGTATAGCTACACAAAAATAATAAATTAATCTTTCTTTATATCCTTATTCTATAAGATTTTATCTATTTTTTATTTTTTAAATAATTATTTTATTTAACTTTATTTATTTATTTATTATTTGACCAGAGTGAGAGAGAGAGAAAGTGAGAAAACAAGCTGCCTGGTCTGGGACTTGAACTGTGGTTAGCTATGTGGGATTCCAGCACTCTTAACCACCACACCATGTGCCAGTCCCAAGATTTTATCTTTTTTTTTTAACTTTTAAAGTTTTTTTTTCTTTCTTTCTTTCTTTTTTTTTTTTTTTTTTTTTTTTTAAACCAAACATATATATACAACACCCTAAGCCTACACTGAGTCAAGA